CATATTTTTTGGTATTAAAGTAACACTTTATTAAAAACAATCAATGAATTTTGTTACTCAAACGTCTTTATATTGATATTTTCAAGCCTATTAGATGACCTGAAGAAAAAGTGATCCAGAAATCGTAGGCTTGCTGTACAATATATTATGGCAAAAGTAAATTTTTGTCCGTCTCTGAATTTTAATAGTGTTACTGTAATAGAGCCTGTTATTAAATATTGGAATGGTACCTTATAGATTTATAACCAGGTAGCAGAGCAGCTTAGCTCAGTTGGCTAAACTGGTGGTAGCCTCTGTGCGCGCTAAAGCGTGGGGATCTCTAGGTCTCGGATTCAAATAAAATCAAAACATTCTTTATTCATCACTCAAAATGGGTTGAATTTTATAAAAGTAAAGGGTTCAAGCAGAAAAATCTAAACAATCAACATTTAAAAATTTTTCAAAAAATAGACCCACATCACAATAACAGCAAAATGAAACAGGTTTAAAGGGCAAAAAGGCAACCAATAAAATTATTATTATTAATTATTATTATTATTATTATTATTATTATTATTATTATTATTATTATTGTTGTAATTATAATTATTGTAGTGAGATTATTCTATCGTTCCTGTTATAGCTACTCATTTTTAAGGTTTAATTTCAGCACTAGATATATTTAGAGTACCCAGAGAGCATCTAAGCCCAAAATTTTTCGGGGCCCTTGGACTGGCCCTCGACTCACGTCAATTGAGTTATTTCCTGTTAAATCTCAAGCCTCTAGCTATCTCCAACTTGGCATGTATTCTATATTCCAACATTATTGAGTAGTTGGATTCTTTTTTCCATAGATCGATGAACTGATAGACCTGAAGAATACACTTTCGTACATAATTATTACGACGTCGAGCCAAAACAGTGTTTCTAATGTGTTTAATTGAATGCTAGTTGTGCTAAGCCTATATATATAATACGCATACTTTATAAAACATAAATTATCCTAATTTTCTGATAAACAAATTAAATAACATTAATTAAATGAAATATATTTAACGATATAGGCGTATTTGCTACCATCAACCGTAACATACAATTTGAAATAAAAGTAGGCGTATGATGACATAATTAATGTTGAAATATTGAATCCCAACATGATGGTGTTTATTTCAATACTTGGAGTATGTATTATACTTTCTTATCTGCGATTAATCAGTGGTCCTTTCAGTAGTAGGCGCATCGTAGAAGAGAATCACTAATGGGCATTGACCTCCGAAGTACTGTAGAAGTACAGAAATAATAGTGTTTTTTGTGGATGAAATATGGGTATATAGAACGACTAGGAAAAAGGTGTGATATCGAAATTCCAAAAGAGGAAGCATGTTATAAAGATATCCTGTTTTCTTTCCTGTATTTCTTATGTAAAACCGGATTTAAACTTTCAAAACGTTTATACAATGTGTATTTAGACTTCATCAATACGGTAAATTACGAATGTATCAATAGTCAATCAGTCAATTGATTGAATAACGCTTTTGTATCATCGGCATACCTTTTTAGTGTAACCTTACAATGACTAGACAATAATTAATTGATATAAAGAAAACACAAAAAAAAAAAATATTTTCTCTCTTATAAAGTATAATGAAAATAACCTGATGGAAAAATAATCAATAGGAAAACTAAGAGGAACAATGCATCGAAAAATGGGGGGGGGGAATAGCCTGGGCCGGGAATAACTCTTCAGGTAGAAAAAAATCAGTGGGGAAAATTAGCAGGTGGTAAGTAGCTACCGTAATAGTGCTATATTCTGTAAAGTACAGCCTCAAACCACCTCGATTTTGAGTCTACTAAATTTGAAAATCTTCCCAGGCTTTTGCAGATATAGCCAGAACTAACTTAATATTTGGAGTTTTTTGATAGCAGATTATTTTTTTTTAGATTATAGTGAGTTAACCTGACTCAAAGACAAGCTTGCGTACAAAAAAACATGCAAATTCATCTTCTATACACAATTAAAAATCAAAATTTAAAAGTAGATAGACATTTTGAAAACAAGAACAAACATTCAATTTTATGCACATTTTAGATAAATTTGGCAGCCATTTTTCAAAATGGCTGCCATTTGTATACAAGGAGTAAAATCAAGTGTCAACAGGGCTTAGGGTGACCAGAAAGGATTAATTAGGATATCTAATTGCTTCTAACATTCCACTCCCCCTGACTCATTTTTTTCAGATTTTTTTTCTAGTCTATATAACAGGTCAGCATGTGTTGATTTCAGGGCTGTAGCTGAAACTAAAAACTGGTGGCGTTATAACCGGCATTAATTTTATAGCGCAGGAGATTTTCATCTTTTTTTGCCGACATATTTTTTCCTAATTTTGAGGGCTGTCTCATTTATGACGCCCTCCAGGGGTGGATCCAGAATTTTTCCAAAGGGGGAGGGAGTTACAACACATTTAGGATGGATAAGTGAGAGTGCTAATTTCAATATATGCCTTGAAATTTTAAAATTTAATGGCANNGGGGGTGGGAGCCTACTGTATCCGCCCCTGCCCTCCCAATGATCTATGGCTGGGCCTTCACATTATATTTATTCCCTTGGGTGGTTTTATCATCATGATACTTCCATTTTTATACTCATGACTCTTCAATAGCATCTTAAGTTCAATTCTTCTACAGTTCATCTATCTTTAATTGCATTTCAGAATTTTATGGATGACACTTAGACAAATTAAAGTTTTTGAAGACAGTTTATAGAGTTTCTGGAATGCATTAACAGTCGATCATCATCTCTGGTTGGCAATAACACTATTCGTTTAAACACATAATTTGTGGAGGATATATAAATAGGGCAATATTGATCGGGACTTCAACTGAGCTCTGGTTTGAGATTAGTGAACTATTAAAAAGCAATTTCATTTCACTTCACCTGTAATTTTCAAGGTTTCAACGACTAGAGATTCAGGACAAATCACAAACTATAAAACTAAAGTACACTATATTTCATGCTGTAAAAATAGCCTGGTTGAAACATCACCAAACCTAAACTGTCTGCTAAAGGGAATTATACCCATAATCACTCTCAAAAGTTTAATATTCATCAACTACTCACATCCAACTGATGTAAATAGCAATGGTTGGATTAAATACAGCAAAACAAAATCGTACTAACTATCACACCACGCTAGACGACATAAATTTCACAGAAGCTAAGCTTTATCGAACATTGAACTAATGCTATTAGGCTTACAGTAATAATAATTTGTATTTTAAACCATTTTAAGCTTGTATTATGGAAACAGGTGGCCTAAACTTTAATAGTATTCAATCTCATTGAAGAAGCATCAATACAACAAAACATTTCTACTTTACTGTTTTAATTAAGGTTTATTCACACATGAACTTCTACAAAAACTGGGCCTGATCAGTGTCATCCTTTTCTGCACCTACACAGCTGGTGACAGATGAACTGTGATGATTGATCAAACTAATTAAAAGTTGAATTTATTATTTATTTATTATTAAAAATACACATACATAGATAACATGCTAACAAAATTAAACAGGAAGAAATTTGTAGAAGCTGTGTGGTGAACCGTTTAATGCCTTGGACTTTTAATTGCGAGGTGGTCGGTGGTGACACTGCTTGTGTCCCTTGGCAGGAAACTTTACCTATGTTTGCCTATCTGTACCCAGGAGCATAAATGGGTAGCCGGTTGGAATGAAACCTAATAGATATTGGACTGGAACTGGTACTGGTATGGGCATTTATAATGCGCCTCTTCCTTGTGGTTATAAAGTGCCGTTCTTTTCCCTGGTAATTGGGTTCACACGCCAAGTTGCTAAGTGTTGCTGCTGGTAATCAGCGCAGGAGCAGGCAACCCCACCAAGTACCCATTTATACTCCTGGGTGGAGAGAAGCAATGCAGATAAAGTGTCTTGCTCAAGGACACAAGTGAAATGCACAGTGAGGGATTGAAACCTGACATCGAGGTTGGGAAATCAAATCGTTCACGCTGCGCCAAACCGCTTCACCAATTGGAAGTGCTAAATTACAGGCATAACATGGGAATGAGAGTGGAGGAGGTGCATACACGTCAAGGCACACGCATTCGAGGTCTGTCCCACGCTCTCACGCTTAAGTACCAAAATCTCAGGCATAAATGTAATAACGCCTATGATAAAAAATATATATAATTTTTAGCTCTCTCGCTAAATATTCATCACCTAATGTACTTAAAGTAAGATTGGTTTTGTTATTATACATTCAAACACAAATAAATGGTGTACTAAACCAGGGTTAAGTTGGTTTGACTTCTACTTTCGATTGTGGACGGCAGAAATACTGTATGCGTTTTTAAGAAAAAATGTGTGATTCCAAACAGATTTTCAGTTGTATATACAACCATAAATTAGAAAATAATGCATTTCCTGGTATCTAAGTTAAAAACATTCCAGGGGGAGAGGGGGTGAAGGGGTGTGGGAGATGAATGAGCCGGACACCCAGTCCCATTGCACATTAGTTGAACTTGACAAGTATGGAGGTGGTATGCTGTGTATGAGTGATATAACTTATCTTTGCAAATGGAACCCTATATGCCAGCAGTCTTTTTAAAAGCAGGGTAGAGTGACATGACTACAGTAGGTATCAGTTAAATTGAAACGGTTGCTAGGTCAGACCTACAAGTTCTGTGTGAATACACATTTTTTATGGAAACGGAAGAGCATTAATACATTGGTTAAGAGCGAAATTCTCAAGCCTCAAAAAACACATGCAATAATCAATAATGTTTAAAAATAGACCTACATCAAGAATCAAATGCACGTACTGATTAATAAGCCGGATATAGACCTGCAACCAGAGAGACTGTAGCGATGCTTTTTTTTAGAAAATTGATTGTAGAAATGTTTTTGCAATGATCTCTTGGAAAAGCTGTAGTTGTTAGAAAATATTAACTTCTGGTGTGAACATTCATCAAATGTAAAATCCAATAGATAAATACAGTACTACTCACAAGCCCAAAAATGCAGTTTCCCTTTTATGCACTGTACACACTGAGAGACCAAGAGGCTTTTCCTTAGTAGTCAGTTAAAATTTATACCATCTTTTTGGTAAAAAGCCCCTAACAATGACCAAAAGTGAATTATATAAGTAAACGATGGTTTTTCAAACCTAGATTCCAGGAATCGGCATAGGATTTGATACTCCTACTCTTTAATAATATAATAATTCATAAGAGACTAACTGTATGTAGAATAGGTATCAATCAATTACTGAAACTGGATATGCTCTCATTATTATTATTATGAAAATTCATTAGCCAATATGCATATCCCAAATGCATGCATATAAGGTTGAATGATACAGGAAACTAAAGCAGTAAATGATGAAAGTTATACAGTATTCAATTATAATGTATTAATCATTCTAAACAGGTCTCACCAAAAGACCGTATTACTGACTTTTTATCCTTTTATTTTTGCTCCTTAAGTGCTTGAGGTTTAGTATTCGGACCGTATTTTTATTAAACAATAAAGTTTCTTGAATCTTGAATAGTAATACAGAAATTTGAACTGCCCCTACATACTGTTCAAAGCTATTAAAAAGTATACAACAGTTAATGTCAAATTTACAATTCTAAAACACAAATACAGCCCAAGGTGCAGCATAAATTTGAACAAATCAGTTAAAACAGCCCAGGCACTTACCCTAAAGACCTACTAGAATTTTGGTTTACATAACTATGAATATTTAATTGAATATTAGAGAGTTAGGAAATAATCTCAGTAAATATTGAACATATTGATCAATCTTTACTGCTTTTTAAAGACATCAATGCTACAGCTTTGGATTCATAAGCCAAAAATCCCGCAAAGTATTCACAAGAAATTTTTCATCATCACATGTACATGTGTTGCTCTTAATTGATCACAGCCCTAATACCAATATCAGTTCTAATAATAAAAGAAGTACTACTTCATTTTCACACATAAACAACTACTGTATATGTAATATTTCATCGATTGTTTTATTAGTCTTGACTATCAATTAGTTTTGTTTCGGTTTAAGTTGAGAGCACACATAAACCCTGATCATGTGATCATGTAATAATGTAAGCATGTGATGCAGCGTGTAAGGTATTAAAGCCCCATTCCCGGCAAAATTTCAGTTTTTAAGAAAAATCTAATTTTTGTATAATGTTATAAAGATTTATAAATATAATACGGAATTGCTAGTTTAACTGAATTTAGACATTCCTAAGAATGAAAAAAATGTAAAATAAGACTGAAATTTGATTTTTTGTGTTCCACACAAAAAATAAATGCGGATGAATTTTTCATGTTTGATTTTGCGATAGGTCGGGAGAAGAAATATCGTAGGCGCCCAAAAAATTAGCCTATCCAACGCTGCTAGGCTAGGCCTAGCCTTACCTCGATTTAGGTTCTGTTATCACACATAAAAACGGCCGACATGATTATTTTCCGTTGCTAGTATTGACACTTGTGAAATATAATATTTCATAGGAATTATTTCAAATTTGTTAAAAAACTGAATCTGACTGAGATTTTGACACTTAAACAAACATATCTCAGCCTAACCAAACGACCGCATAGTGCGAGATGCGAAGTACAAAAACTAATCTCATTAGAGAGGGTGCACTTTATTGACTGTATAAAGTATACATAAAAGCGAGAGTATTCCAGTGGATGCGATCTACAACCTCTGAATTTGCCTAGTAACGATGAATTCGTCGAGAAAATGGTAATATTTTATGAGAAATAGTCTGTATTTCTCATTTTTTTTATTCTTTTGTGTAAAACTAAAATTCATGACAATATTTTTCCATGATTTATAATAATTGAAGTAATGCAAAGGCATATTTTCTAAAAAAAGTCAGTTTTTAGTGAAATTTTGCCGGGAATGGGGCTTTAACTTTCAATCGGAAGGTCAAGGTTCGAGACTGACAGTCATCACACTACTTCAAAAAAGGCTTAAGCAGTAGAGTTATTTCAGTTATGAATTTCAATCTTTTTATTTTACAGGATTTGATTAATTATTGAAATTAAAATAAATATAAATACGCCTAGAATAATAATAACTTTCTGTTTATAAGTGTTTCCACTTGGGAAATGAACATTAGCACAAGCAATAAGCACATATTAATCAAGATATTTAACAAGTAAACAGTTTCGACTGACAAGGTAAATATTAGGTATCTAAATTTTAATTGCAATCATGTGCAATATTGATTATAAATAGATGCAAATAAACAGCAATGGGGAACAGTCACCTGTGGAAAACCATTGTGGTTCAGGGATACCACCCGCCTTAAGCATAAGCATATGAATGTACAACATTGTTTAGAACCTACAGTACATACACGTTACCACCTTGTGGATCAACCAGCTCGATGAGGACAGAGAACCTACAACACCAATCACCTTAATCTAGCCTCATAGCTCAGTTGACGTTCCGCTAAACCCATTCCCTTTGACATCATTGCAAAAGTACCACAAACAGATAGTACAGTACATGTTTGTAAACATGTGTATTTTTGTGGGACAACACAGTATGTACGGGGACAAGTGCATTTTACTGGCCCTGGTCTGATTGGTCAGTTGTTAAGTTTGACACTCCAAAAAAAGGTCAATTGGTAGAGAAACCTAAAGGGAATTTAAAGTTTTCAATTAAACGAATTTAAATGTTAAAATAGTGTGTGTATTTATATGAGTATTTATTTCCAACTATTTAATGCTATGGACTAACAAACTTCCTTACTTGAATCAGATTTTCTCTATACTTCATTTTGTATTTATACTTTTTGGTAATGGAATACAACAATTGAATCCAAAAGTGTTTATTGCGTATCAAGAAATATCAACAGAGGGCACGGCACAACAAAGCATGATGGAATTGAAAAAGGGGCAAAAAACAAAACACCCAATATTTCCTTATAATGGCTAACGTATATGAAATTCAACGTTTGAAAAAAAATTGTGATCAGTTGAACGACACTGCACCACGGAGGTTGCCTGAGAGATCAAGCGCCGCTATTGCCCCTCTTCAATCCCTATATGCACTGCGGCTTTGATGGGCGATAAAGGTCTATGAATGGGAACAGGAAAGGAGGAAGATCAGTCATTAATTGACAAGCTCTATCAAATTTTATTATCAAATGTTCTTTTTTTAATCAACATTGTTGTAGGTTATTTTTTTTAAATGTTTATTTGTTGATGATACTGTAATTTCATTGAAACATTGAATTAGGTGATAGTCACCTCACAATGGAGTTACTCTAACACAATTATATCACTTGTTTATCTTTTATTTCAAAATTTTACATATAAATATTTTTACTATAAATAATATATAATATATACCTAGTCACAACTTCACTTACAATAATAATATCTTGACATGCATATCATCTTCATATAGCAAATGTTTCTATTTTTCTACAATATGTTATTATAATTTCTCATTCATTACTAATGATACTTTTTCTGTTAAACAATCTTATTTACCGGAGGGCATTTATCCTCTGTAAATTATCATGGTACATGTATTGTACACCCACATAATGCACAAGGCCGTACACAATTGTGAAACACTTAATCATTTTGCACACAAGATTCAGAAATGAAAATGTCTTCTTGTTATTGATACTAATATTATTACTACATGGCAGTGATGAATGGCAGCTTCAGTGAATGACAGTATCACTATATATACAGTACTGTAAAAGTGGTAATTTTCGGGTGTGTAAATTTTCGTGGTTTGCTATCCTATCACCATATTTGCGTGTTGTTATTTTCGCGAATTTTAATTTTTTATCTACCGTATATTGTTCCGATGTATACTTAGGCTAAACCTGTGTAAAGCCGCACCAATAATTAGGACGCAAAATATCGCTTTTTATTTTGTGCCACCTGTGTATTAACTACACCTATTTTTAAGCTCCACACAGTTCTCAAATGTTAAGTGTTTAATTATTTTGAAACATGACATTATTTACAAATGTTCTATACAGATATTTCAACTTTATCGGCCCAATTATTAAACAACAAACAACTAGAAATTCATGATACTTCTTGCTAACTAGCTGCTATGAAACAACGTATTACTCTAGCTAGGGAAATCACCATTTCTCACTCGACGGTCATTCTGTATTAAATTTTCAACAATCAGTTTAGTTTAAGCTTAATAAAATCTAATACAATAAAATATATTGTGAGTATATTTATTTATTACTCAATCAATCATTCTATATTATAGTGACTAATAACAGTCGGTATTGAGCTAAAAATATTGGTAATTCTAGGCCTAATTCATTACACTCAATGCGCACTCTGCCAAGCATGCAATATCGCACCACATTTTTGTAAACAAACTGAGAAATACCATGCGATACAAAGTTTGCGCATTCGCAGATGACGTGTCCCTTTCTACTGTTAAATTCAAGTAAAAAAAGTATTACTTCAAGAAAACTCGTCTTTTTATAGCACATATTAATTTCACAAGTTTTTATTCTAAACTCATAGCACCACTGCATAGCGCGGTACATTCTTTCCAACGGCACTAGCCACCGGGAACCAGACATCGTACAGCAAGTTTCAACCAGTTCACCACCAACCATGTGTGTTTTGTTGCGTACGTGAAATGCTCACGTGACTTCGATGACTGAAAAATCATTTGTTAATGTTTTGGTTCAAACAGAAACAACGTGTTTCAAACATTGAAGATAATTATTTAGACAACCCAAACCACTGATTGAATGTCGTAGAAAATGTAGTACTCTACTACATCCTGTAGTAAGTATAATAAAAAACACTAGGCCTACAAACCGGTCCTTGCTGCCAGATTTTCGCCACGGTCCACGATCTGGAATTTTTAGAATGGGGTTGATTGATGACTGGTATAGGTTGCATCCAAAATTTCGGGGTTGAAATGCTGTATAAAATTTGCAGCTTTATACACTGAAAATTATTATACGGTACAAAAAAAAATATGCCTATAGGTCTAGCCAGTAATTGTGCTTTTCTACCCAAATGAAGGTTGCAATGTGATTACAAGACAAAAATGTCCCTCTAACCTAGCCCTACGGCCTAGGATTTCTATGAAGACGTGTTTACAGTAAGTTGAATTGTTTCTTCTTGCGCACTTAATTTTCGCGAATACATTTTCGCAATGTTTTTATTTTCGTGGTAGCTCCTTTGTACGCGAAAAGCGCGAAAATTAATGTACCGCGAAAATTACCACTTTTACAGTAACAGATATTTTACACTAATTAGTATCACAACTGCACCTATGTGAAAGGATCATGTCTGCAATATGTCCTCAATAAGCCAAGTTGTAGTTTGAACTGCGCATGCCTGTATCCTAGGTTAATCGACATAAACCTATGTTGTGTGTATGTTTGTTTATGTCGATTCACCTTGATACACGCATGTACAGTTCAAACTATGAATTGGCTTATATGAAGCTACACTGCTGTATATAGACTTACTACAAGTCTCTTATTATTGTTTTCTCATTCTGGAAAGCGCCACCAACGAGCTTGTTAATTTTGAGACGGAAATAAAACACTAAATGCTGCTACCCGGATGGGAAAAGAATGGCGTAATCTAATATTCCGTATTTGGATAAATGGGCGGACGGACATAAACGATTTCAACCAATCACTATGCTTACATTTTCAAAGCCACAAACGTGTACAGAAACAGAGTCACGTCTCACGTCGACTAGTTAGGCATGGCCAAAAAATAGTCTCCCCTAATAAAACAAACTTAAACTATATAGAATAGACCCTAGAACAAGTAGGCAATGGCAAAGACGAATAAGCTTAGGCTAGATGGCCATATTACAACGTACAGCACAACTTTCCGATAGAATGGACTACTAGGCCTCTAGAATCTAATACTAAATTAATTCAAGTAAGTACGCACAAGGTAGCTGCCTAGCTTAGCTGTCGAGACACCGCACATCTTCAAATTAAAAATTACCAAGATTAATTAATATGCAAGAGGTAAGCCAATCACGTGACAAAGTCAGTCATGCATACGATATCACACACCGAATTTGATGTGTTAAATCGTATGCATGCATGACCAGGCAACCTTTGCCCAGGCCCTAATCCGAGAAAAAAAGAAATCAAGTATGGGACGTCGAATAAATTAGGTATGGTGCGCAATAAAAAGTGAGTAACCCAAAATTAGGGCCTGGAACCCAAGCTATGCTGTATACTATAGTCTCCCAACAAACAGGCACAACTACAGTACCTGCAAGCTAAGAAAAAAACTTTGGGAAAGTATATGCCATATTCAAAACCCAACAACACGCCGCTATATGTCCAAAGCAAATCCAATCACCCACCAGGAATTCTCAAAAAATATCCCAGAATCAATAAATAGACACCTATCCGAAATTTCGTACGAAGAGCAATCATTCAATGACGCAGCACCACTTTACCAACAGGCCCTCAATAAAAGCGGATACGATATAAGCTCAAATTTTCACCACCGCAAGAACCCAAAAACGAGAAGCACAGCCAATCCCGCAAACGTAACATAATTTGGTATAACCCACCGTACAGCACGAGTGTTGCCACCAATGTCGGGAAAACTTTCCTCAAGGCTTTAGATCGAGCATTCCCACAAAATCACACACTACATAAATTGTTTAATCGAAACACTGTCAAAATTAGTTACAGTTGCACTGGAAACCTTAAACAGACCATTGATGGCCACAACAAAGCAACCCTCTTATCCACATCTAGATGTGTATAAGAGACAGACCTATAATATATATACACACATAGACAGAGGCATCGTAAATTATTTGATTAACTTCAGTTACACTACAAGGTTTGGAGAGTTAAAGGGCTATTTTAAGATGGTACAATCCAAATTATCCTCTGGTCAGAAGCAAAAAGTTAATCATCAAGTCAAGGCTCATTTCCATTTTCATTAGGTCAGGAATTCCATTATATAGAATGATGTACAGTTGTAGTACCTATCACAGCAGGTTCAATTAAGTAACACAATGAGGGCAGCAGCACATGACGTCGAAGGAGAATAATCTTCATAAAGCTTTGTACAAAAATGATTACTTCATATCGATTAGGGAGGCTTCACAAAACAAATATTATCTTAACAAACATATATATTGAATATGTATACATTGCTATATTCTATTGTTAGATAGGCCCACTAGGAACAAAAATTTGTAATAGATAGGTGAGGTGTTTTGTAATTAAAAAAAAATCAGATGAAACAAGCAACATCTAACCACGAATAAAGAATGTGTACATTTGTAAAATACGTTTATAGATCATAGTGTTACAAAAACAACCAGGCCACAATGATATTTTGGACATAGTCGTACACTTTTTTTTTTTATAAGAACCAGTAAAATTTTGCCCAGGCTCAGTGTTCTTATTTTTTGGCTGATTACAGGCTCAAAATGTTCTTATTGTTCTTATTTTACACACTTTTCAAACATAGAAAATTATGGGCTCTGAAAAAATGCCCTGGAAAATTTCCCCAAAAAAAGGCCTGGTAAAAATGGCCCCAAATGACAGTACACCTGATTATAGGGATTATTACATAGTCACACCTACATTATTACTGCACATAAGGTACAGATATAATTTTTCAAAAACCTCATTTGAGATTTTACCTCAGCCTCAATTTGTTCTTATTTTGCTCTTAAAGCAATTTCAGCCTCAGTGTTCTTATAAAAAAAAAAGTGTAGTTGACGCTATACTTAATTGATTAAAATATAGTAAAAAACACTTCTCAATGATA